GCAAGTTGAGCTGGCACTCTCAGAGCTGAGGATGTTATGGATGATTATGTCCTTGACCCAGGCTTTGAAACTGGGTGAGAACCCGTGCAGCTCATCTCTATCAGAGCAGGCTGAGACCTTGTCTCTGTGACAGTGTGTTGAGCAAACCATGTCACCTCATACATAGACAAGGCCAGTCCCAAGCCTCTTCCTCACCTCATCTGCCTCCCAACATCAGATTGGACTGGTCATTGTCTTTTCTCTTAGCCATAGCCCTGCAGCCTTTCTGTTCTTGTATCAAACTGTCTCCTGCTTCTTGTCCTTTTCCTCTTTTCCCTAAGGCATTTTCCTGTTGTCTCCTACACCTGGTGTCCCATCTCCTGGAAAACACTACTCTTAAACCTCTCCTTGAACGTGTCCCTGCCCTTGTTCTTGTGATTTCTTGCCAGTCACCCGGTATTGTCAGGCACTGATTGAGATGGGACATATGATTTCTGTCCACATCATCATCATCTTCCTTTGTTTCCTTTCCCCCATCCTGGCAGTTGGTTTGTATCAATTTCTGTTATTCCTGCCAGGTCTAGAAGCAATTAAGGCAATGTCTCTTGTCTCTCCCTACTCATTGGGATCCCAACCCTTCCCTGTATCTAGAAAGTATCCCAAAAGGTATCTAGAAGAGCTGAAATAAACGTGCCAGGTTATGTGTGGATTTGGGTTAGGGCAAAGCAAAGGGTTTAGAGCAAGGCCTGGTTTTGTGCTTTGAAATGGAAGTCCAAATCCATTCCTGACCCTGTCTCTGCCACATGTATTAGAAGAAGAGATTTTCTGAAACTGGGATCTCTCTAAGCAGGACAGAGGTTTTCTAGGAGTGCCAAGGTTAATTCTCTGTGTCTCTCTCCCTCACAGCAGTAAAGGGCCCAGTCGAACCGTGGAGCTGTCAGGGGAACAGTCAGACCTGCGGGGCAGATGTCGGCCATCGTACGGGTCCCAAGTCGGAGGCCAGACTTTTTACAACAGTGAATATGGGGAGCTGTCGGAACACTCTGAGGATGGCAGCTGCACCCCACCTGGAGAGGGGGCCAGTCCCCCCACTCTCCACACTTCCTTCTTTTCTGAGCAGTACTAACGGCACCAGGCCCTGGAGGCCAAGGTCCTCCAGGCACGGCATCAGGGTCACTCAGAGCTTCTCCTTCAACCTATGCCCAAAACCAACAGGGAACCTACCCCAAACAGATGGGGAACACTGATGTCCTTGGAACCACAGCATGAACCACGCAGCACCTCCAGCTGCAGCTTCCCTGTGCCACGACTGGAGAGAGCACCTCACTGATTCCTCATGTTTCTTTTATTCCTGCACCTCAGACAGATGCATTCTGCCAGAGAGTGGGTGCCTGTGCTCAGCACTATGGCACCTTCTGCCTAACATCCAGCCTCCGCTCAGATCGGATTCCCATTCAGAAAGCCCATTTCAGGTCAGATATAAATAGATCTGCCTTAGTCTCAAGTTTCTTCCTGGTGTGCAGCCTGAATGTTTTTCCTTGGATTGCTTCCTCCTCCCCTCATCATGATGTCAGCTGCTGAGCTGTGGAGCAGAATCAAAGGGAAGAAATCCCTAGTGGTATTAACAACAAGAGCAGGACATTTTAAAGAGGTGTACAGAGAGATCCTGAGGGATCTTTGTAAATGTTCATGCATGCTGCTCATCCTGAGTAGGTGCCAGCCTCTCCATCTCCTCTGCAAGCAATACCCACACTCCTCTCATCTCTGCGGGGGGGAAACCTGCCACTCTGCCTTATCACTAGAATTATTTTAGCCATCTCAACACAGCTAGTGCTGAGTAGGTCATCAGCTGATGGCTAAAGTGCTTCCGGTGAGATAAACAGCAATTTTTTGCAGGCCTTGTGCAAAACAGGTTCTTTTATGATCTCTGCTGGGAGCAGGTTATTCACAGGTCTGCTGCTTTTGCCTTCCCCTTCTCCCAGAATGGTGCTGAGATCATTTGTTGCTTGAGTGAGAAATTAAAGCAAAGCTAGGTTAATTTGAGCTGGCTTCTAAACATAGAGTTTGCTGGGAGGAAAAAGATCAAAAGGGCAGGGAGTGAAATGTTTATTTTCAAGCTGCTGCAAAGCATTTTGGAAACAATGGAAGGAACAGTGCTCCAGCAATAAGGTGCTCTGGGTTGCATGCCCTTGTGTGTTGACATCACTGAACACATGGAACCCAGCACCTGGCCAGGGTTCAAGCCCTGATTCTCCTGGATGGACAGTTCTGCACCACGACCTTTCCTGTCTCCCAAGTTCCCTGATTCAAAGGAGGCACTCTCTACCCAGCAGATTCCTCTCCAGTTTATTTTGCAGAGCTTCCAGCAGAGCATACCTGAGTCCAGAGGATTAAGAAATGTTTATTTGCTGAGAAAACATCTCCTCACTTTAGTCTTTGTTTCTAAGGGATACCACGTGAATTCAGAGCTCTGGGGAACCTCCGCAGCCCCTCTCTATAGATTTCTGTACTGCTGCCTCACCACTTCCCACCTACTTCTTTCTATCCTGCTCCCAATCCAAGAGCTCAGCCACAGAGCATGGTTACATCACTGCCTCAGGAGTCTGGGTGAAAAGGCTTATTTGAACAGCTTGTCATCATCTCGTCTCCCACATGCCCATGGCTGGCAGCGCTCTGTGCACCAGGACATCTCAGCACCAGGGAATTACTGCTTGTGGGCCACACCTCTGTCACAGAGCCAAGGGTTTGGACTCATAAAACTGTGTTTCCTGCCAGATGTACAGCTTTCCCAAACTGTATTTCTTTTCCAGCAGAGGGTTTTACGCGTTTCCCGACGTAAGCCTGTGAGTCCTTATGGAAGATGTTGCCAAGTCTTAATTATAGTTCTCCACACAAGTGTAATGGGGAGATTTATTTAACACATGGGAAAAGCATGCCTGTCATTCAGATTCTCTAAGCCTGTGCAGCTCGTTCAATGTTCCACTCCCTTTTTGTGTCAGCAGGATGACACGGCTGCAATTTCCATGGCAAAAGAGAGGCACAAAACTAGACCAGCTTGAGCCAAACTGGCTCAGGATACGGAGTTGGAAACTGCATATGACAATGAATTCCCTGACTTCTACTGGTGTCCCCTGAAGCTGCCAGGAATTTAAGCATCTTTAAGTAATTGTTACGACTCAGTAAGAATCCTCTGGCAGGAGCTGCTGGAGAGCCAGGACAAGGAAGTAGGACAACAAACAGGGTGTAGGCCAGATCAAATTCTCCTGCCCTCATCTTGCCCTCCTTTTTGAACTGGTGGTTCCTTTGGCAGAAGGAAGGCTGCATGTGACTTGTGTTGCTAGAGGTTTCCACTGGCATTGATGGTGATGACCAGCTGAGTTAAATTCAGGCTGCTTGCTGGGTGATGTGCATCCATAGGATCCAGAGTCTCTTACTTCCATCACTCCATGAAGAGTTCTCTGCCTGGAAACAGCCCCATCTGAGACAGGGCGCAAGAAAGAGGACTACAAACAAAATAATAGTTAAAAAAACAGAATTTCAAAGTAGCTGTAAGTCCCTGACCATATGTAAGGGATAGGTATGTGCCAGCAAAGAATGACATTTGCTCGGCAGTGGCAGGATTCCTCATCAGAAAGGTGACAGGGGCATCTTAGTGCCCAGGCTGGTTGTCAGCATGGACATCCAGCCAGTACAGCTGCACTTTTTCTCTAAGTTTAGCTGTAAATTGCTCACAAGCATCCTTGTGGAGAAGGGTTGTTAAAACCATTGTTAACGATCTCCTGCTTCATCCTGGGGAAAACACTTCTGTGTCATCTGATTTTTGAACATTCAACTCCACAGAAGTTTATTTTCTCTCTCTTGCACCATCTAGATGGGGGGTGGAATAAGATCCTATTGTGTCTGTGTCAACAGCATTGCATGAACAATGCAGCCTGATCAGAGCAAAAGCTGGCTCCTCTTCAGACACTCCTGCTGATGAAGAACAACTGTAGTGTGGGAGATTGAAGAGCTGTTGAGACAATTGTACTTTTGCTCTCTAAAGGTATACTTAAATTAGATGTGCAAACCTGATAACCCTTCCCACCCCCTTGAATTATTTCTGGCTTTTTATTTTTACAGTCTCCAGATAAGCATGAAGTGAAGCTGGTCTGTTTTGGTTTTAAGATATGAGACAGGAATGTTGTCTATCTTTCTACAGCATCAAGGGAGTATTTCAATGTTTAAAACCCAGGTTTTGATACTTGTGCCTGCTTTGTTCACAATGCATTCTCTGTTTTGTTTTTTGTTTTGTTTGGGCTTCTTAACGGAACTCAACATTGAAGCTAAGCTATTCATCATCATCATCACCTTCCTTTAAAATGGCTGCTTCCACTCTATGCTCAGTCTCTTTCCTTTACAAAGTGTTGGTGTTGAGAGGACATTCCTCCTTCCTGAAAACAAAGTGTTGGGTCCCCTACTTGCAAATACATGTGTCTCTGAAGAAAAAACTGTTTATCAAGTAACACTACATTTATATTGCAATATTTTCGCCTGGTACCTGTTGTTGCTCTAGCAGCATTCAATGTTTCAGTGGGCTGCCTTTGAAGCAAGTAGGCTAAAACAGGGGTTATGTGTGAGTACAAAGCATGGTCTGTGTGTGTGTGAGCGTGCTGTGGGTGAATGTGTGGGTATTTGCATGTGAGTTTTCCTACCAGTGAGCGTATGTGAGTGATTGTAACTCACGTTGAGTCTAGTCTCTGGAAGTTCACGGTTATATATCAAACCAGTTAGAACACTGCTTCCTTTCCTCTCCTACTATAGTACTTGTTATCCTTTGTCATTAAGAGTTTTGTTGTAATATCTAAATGTGAAAATGAATAAAGTCATAACTGGCAGCTGCTCTCTGGTTCCTGGGGCCATCTCTGCCCCTGGGGCAGCCCAGCCCCAGCCCAAGCCATCAGCACATTTTGGGTTTATTATTTTTACTTTTGTGTCTGTTTGCATTTCCCTGCATCCTCTCAGAAACAGCTGGATCTTGTGGCATGTCCATCCAGGATGAAACTCTGGCTTTTCTCATGGTGAAGTTGCATATTCTCTTTGGTTAAGCTCACTGGCAGAAGCAAACACAGCACTCAGCCCTTGCCCCAGACCCACAAACCTTCCCTGCCACCTCGGCCCTGGGGGTGTCACCCCTGGAGATCTCCAGCCTTCCTGTCTTCATCCACCACAGCAGAGGAACCAGAGACCCCCGGACCCCCCTTCTCCTCAGGGAATCAAACCCTTCCTGGACGCCCTTTCTCAAGGCAATAACAGCCCCCAGACTCCCCTTCTCCTCAGCACATCAATCCCCCCCGGACCCCTCTTCTTCTAAGGGCACCCAACTCCGCCTCGGACGCCCGTTCCCCTCAT